GGGGGGATGTTTATGCACTGGTGGGGGATTGGAATGATCTTTGTAGACCAGAAGAAAAAAGAGGAGGAATTAGCAGGTCTGTTAGTAGATGCTGGGGATTTAATCAATTTATAGCTGATATGGGAGTGCAGGACATACCAATGACAGGGTTGCAGTTCACATGGGCAAACAATAGGGAGGGGGAGGGGTTTGTTGAAGAAATGCTGGACAAAATGCTTGTCTCCCTATAAGATGATCTTCTTTCCTCACACCAGAGTGCATAGCTGGTACAAAAGTTCATCAGATCATTGTATGCTAGTGGTGGATACCAAGAGGGGATCATTAGTCACAAGAGAAGGTTTCAGTTTGATAAGAGATGGGTGAAAAAGATGGAGCTTCAGGAGATAATCAGACAAGCATGGAATAATTCAGTTGAAGGAACACCAATGCATGCTATCAAGGAGAAAACCAAAAAGACAAGAGCAGCATTATTAACATGGAGCAAGAACTTCCATTCAGAGAATGCTAAGAATATTTCACAGCTGACTTTGGCTTTAGAGGAGATGAGGAAGACAGGAGGGGACAGAAATTGGGACACATGGGAAAACCTTAAGAAGGAATTGGATGATGCCATTAGTCTGGAGGAAACATACTGGAGGCAAAAAGCAAGGGTTATGTGGCTTCAAGAGGGTGACAGGAATTCAAGGTTCTTTCATGCCTATACATTGCACAGAAGAAAGATTAATGCAAGTGAGAGATTGACCACAGATGGGGGCAATATCAGTGAAGATATAGATGAGATTGAAGAAATTATCACCAAATATTACAAGGAGTTGTTTACATCTAGAGGATCAAAACAGGGCCAAGAATTTCTTCCTCACATTCACCCTTCTATCAATCAGGAAATGAATGAGGCCCTGTTAGCTCCAGTGGATGATGATATCATTAAGGAAGCTGCATTTGCCATTCATCCAGATAAGGCACCCGGGGAAGATGGAATGACAGGAGGTTTTTATCAGCAAATCTGGAGCATTATCAACAAGGATATCTGTAAAGCAGTGAAGAGTTTTTTTGACTCGGGCCAAATGTTAAGGTACTGGAAGCACTATATTATCACTTTAATTCCAAAATGTGTTAATCCAGTTACCATTAATCAATACAAGACAATTAGTTTATGCACTGTCTTTTATAAGGTGATATCTAAAATCTTAGCAGACAGGATGAAACAGTGTCTCAATGTGTGCATTGTTGAAAATCAAAATGCTTTTATTGCAGGGAGGCAGTTATTAGATAATGTTATCATTGGCCATAAAGTTTTCCATTTTTTAAATAGACATAGAAGTGGTAAAAATAGTTTTATGGCATTGAAACTGGACATTGCAAAGGCATATGACTGTGTTGAATGGAAAGCAATCCAGTTGGCTATGATTAGAATGAGCTTTCACAGAAAATTCATTAAATGGGTTATGGCATGCATCCAATTTCCTACCTTCTCTTTCAATATCAATGGGAATTGCAGGGGTTATGTACATGCTTCCAGGGGCATTAAACAAGGGGATCTTTTATCCCCTTATTTATTCTTTATTATCTCTGAGCTTCTTTCTGCAAGAATTAACAGGGAGGTGGAGAAGAGGAGTTTAACATGAATCAGATTATCCAGAGGGGGACCTATGATTACACACTTGATGTTTGCTGATGATACATTAATGTTCTGTAAGGCCAGTGAAGCTTAGACCAGGAAGTTGATGGAAATTCTAAATTACTTCAAAGAATTTACTGGCCAGCAAGTTAACATGGGCAAATCAACCATTTTCTTTAGAAAAAATACATCAGCATGTGACAAAGACATAATTTGCTCACTTTTACCAGGCATTCAGAGACATAACTCTACCAGGTATTTAGGGCTTCCTCAGGGTCTGGGAAAATCGAAAAAAGAAGCATTTGCATACATCCTTAATAATGTGAGGAAAAGAATTCTAAATTGGAAGAATAAATGGTTGTCAACAGCGGGTAAGGAGGTATTGATTAGATCTGTGTTGAATGTTATGCCTATTTTTGCGATGTCTTGTTTTGTTCTTCCTACAGGGTTGTGCAAGGAGATCTCAAAACTTTGTGGCCAATTGTTGGTGGAATAAAGGATCAAAGTCTAATGGTGGAATGTATTAGGTGAGTTGGAATAAACTAACAATGGCAAAGAAGCATGGGGGGTTGGGATTCCAAGACATACAACTATGTAACATGGCACTCATAGCAAAGCATTTGTGGAAGCTTGTGGCAGAACCTGATAGACTGGTCAGTAGAATTCTTAAAGCTAAATATTTCCCTAACTCTACTTTGTTTGAAGTACAGAGAACACATCAAGCTTCTTGGATGTGGGCCAGTTGGTTATCAGTGTTAAAAGTGTGCAAACAGTGGATGAAAGTTGAAATCAGAACAGGGAAAGAGGTCAACATTTGGGATCAACAATGGATTCCAAACAGATTAGGAATGGAAGTCCAACTTCTACCAGGTATTGATAAAAATATTCAGAAGGTTAGAGATTTATTAAACAGTGATGGCAGAAGCTGAGATATTCATAAAGTCTGCAACACGTTCACACCAGAGTTCTGCACAGATGTTTTAAGCATTAATACTCTTGATCCAGATTCAGAGGATAAATGGGTGTGGACATTGCAGAAGAAGGGCTTGTTCTCGGTTCAGTCTACTTATGCTAAGCTTATTACTGACAAATTTCTTCAACAGGTAGAACCGCAGTCAAGTAAAGAGTTGATGACAGATACGAGAGTGAGAAATAGAACATGGAAACTCAAGATGATGGTGAGAATCAAACATTTTCTATGGAAGTGTTGTAATGGATCTCTGTCGGTCTGTAGTAATTTAAAAGCAAGAGGTATTGCAGTGGATCAAACTTGCAGAATGTGTGGTGAGGTAGCTGAATCGATTGCACATCTCTTTTTCCATTGCAAACTAGCAGAAACAGTGTGAAAGCTTGCTCCAATTCAATGGGAGGGACGCAAGATAAGGAGACATTTAAAGATTGGTGGTGGCAAATATGCAATCTTGACAAGAGTCCAATATCCGAGGCACGTAGTCAACTCTCAACATATATTCTGTATTGGCTATGGAAGTCACGAAATCTTTGGATGTTCGAGGGAGTACGAAGGCCAGCATACTTCATTGTTCAAGGAGCAGTAAAGGAGTGGGAAGAATTCAACAAAGCTAATGAGGGTCAACAGTAAATGTAGAACATGCTGAGACTTTGTTGATTATGTTTTTTTTCTTTTCTTTGTTTTTTTATGTTGGTACTCAGTAGACTGAGTTAGTAGTTTGTTGTGGTTCTAATTTTCAGTAGTGTTGGTTATATTGGTTGTGTTATAGGCCACCGGTGAATGGTGCTCTCATTGATCGGATTAAGAGATGTATGAACTCTAATATTTCTTGGATATGAGAAATTTCTGCCGATTGGAAAAAAAAAGTACTGCTAGAAGAGTTTTTTCTTTGCACTCATTGCTGCCTATTGAGAGATATCACGCGTGTTTTAAAGTGCTGATAGATGAGTAGTTGAATGCTTATAAAATGATATGCTATCCAAATGAACTTAGCAAAATAAGACTTTTTAGATCGACAAGATCGAACTGGAATTCCAACATGCTAGTAGCATTCAACATTGAGTGAATTGTTTCAAGTAACCTTTCCTCCAAAAGAATTGTCAAAGTGACCTTTGACCCAAAAATTACAGTAAAACTTAACAAGTAGTAATACTAAATAGCCATTTACTAAAAAGGCTCTTAATAGAGAAAGGGTTCTAAAGGAAATGAATTGATCATCTTCTTCCTCCTCCAATTTACTCCATCTTTTTTTGTCTTCTTTCTTTTCATTTTTTTCATTTAACCGTTCAGAACAAAAGAAAACACCATTTCATCTTTCGTAGTTCAACCTCTCGCCCACTCTCTTTCCATTGCAACTAGCTCTGCGGATCCTTAAATCTCTGTCTATCAATGAAAGCTCTTCAATGGTCGCACCTTTTTGCTTGCGTCATCCCTTATTTGCTCTTGAAAATATTGCCCTTTTTTTTCTTATTTTGTGTAATTTTCCCATTTTTCACGCTTTCAAGTTCTTGACAGTCGCGCTTGTTGTTGTTGTTAAAGGTGACTTCACCCAAAAAAGCTAGAGAAAAAAAAAAACATGTCTTTATGCCACTGGATTATGAATTATGATTGATGTGTTTGGTGTCGTTTTGTAAGTCTTGTCTTTGAGGAATGAGGATAAACACATTTATAGATTTAGCCGGTAGATATTCAGTAGATAGACCCACCTGTGGAAGAGAAAGCCTAAGATCTCTTATACTACACTTTAGTTTCCAACAAAAAGAACTTGAAGCTCCCCAAACAGAGCAGATTATCGATTTCATTCGAAAAACGAAATCGACCCATGAATCACATAACCATCGGGTTGTATCTTCACAACTGGCCGAAATACCTCCATGTAATCGTCGACTGCCTCTCCCGAGTCGAGGGCATTAGTGAGACCTTGCTAATCAACAACCACGATGGGTCTC